GGGGCACAACTGGAGCTCGGAACCATGGTATAATTAGCGATCCCTACACTACACTCGGCGTATAAGACGACCCCCCCCCTTAGGAGCTGAAAGTTATGATGTGAAAAGTCGTCTAATACGCCGGAAAATACGGTATTCTCCTTCCGGCTCGACTGGACTTCTGCGTCGGCCTAGCCGCGGTCTCGTCAATAGCGCCGGCGGGACACAAATCCGGCCATTGCAGCGCATGCTTTCAACACAAGCGTCTCTGGAAGCAAGGACAGACGCGAAATTCGTAGAGGCTCAAGCCTCTCCTAAAGCATATTTTGAGGTGGGATTATTGAGTAAACAAACTTGTCATTTTAGACTTTCGGTAGATAATGAACAGAAACTGTAGTCATTTTGCAAGTCCAGTCGAGATTTAACTGTCAAACCGTAACTCACCAAAATCAACTTTGGCTGACTACATTCTCAGGTTTCGTTTATCTTTCATAACAACTGTATTGACCCTAATTCGTTTAAGATGAGGAAGGAGTTCGATTCATTTCCCCCACAATTTCAGTGCGTTTCGCTGAGCCCTGCTTCTCATCCTCACCCCCAGCAGGACTCGAACCCGACATGTGGTCGTCCAGCGTCACCACTACGTCCGACTGTCACCAATGCCCTTGGGACACAGGGCAGAGGTGAATTTAAAGGCAGGCCAGACCTTTCTCACACCACGTAGTTGTGGTGGGTTTTTTGACGAAACAAGGGCTCTTTTGCTATTGCATAGAATTGGCTGAATACATTTCATATATCAGATCTACTGGTAGTCGCAACAACCTACCTACATGAGATGTGTTCATCATACTCTGTTTAAGGTGATGAAATTTCCCACAACCATGTTAGTACAGCTTGCGTTTCCACTGAATTTCACATAGCCTTGCTTCCCGAAATGATGACAATGGCAAGGCTATGTGAACTGCAATAGAAACGTGAAGTCCACCCACAGGATTGCGGCAAATTTCATCTACACACACCACACCACATCACATCAAACGAAACAGCGTGCAAACATTTCAGACATGATTTACTGGCAGTCTTGAGACCCTATTTATAAACCGAAAATAAGTAGTGTAATCAAATACTAAAGCAAATAAAACCTTGCTTCGGTGACAATCCCACCAGATAACTGTGATTTGGGAAAGACCTAGGCTTCCTTTAAATTAACTCTTGCCCTCGTGGCATTAAGGCACAGTGGTTAACATGTCGACATGAGACGTCGTACTCCCACAAGTCTGGTTCGAGTCCCGCTGTGGGCGTTGGTGAACCCAGTTTAGGCAAAGTCGAACTTGCATTCCATTCCATCCTGGACTAGAATTCCTTTCGGGAATCAAAGCGATGAAGTATGCGAATATAATTGTGGGATAATTCAACCAACAGTCCTTCATCACTTCGCAAGAAATAAGGGGAATACAGCTTTTACATAAGTTATTATTTGTTTGTAATTACAATTAAACGATATTACCTACTTTCGATTTCTTAGCTTTTGAGACCCTCAGTAGAGCTTGACTACAAGTTTTAGTCATTCTATCATTCGTCAATAACTCCCATCAAACTTGACCTCTTAATTGGGTTCTACCGATAAGTTCAAAATGTACTTATACCGAAAATAAATAATATCATTGATTGTAATTGCAAACCCATAAGAACTCAGTCAGCATAGGTCGCTTCGAATGATTTGAGGCATGGAAGTTGAGTCTTTCCACACTCCGTTGTATGGGCTACAGGTGGCTATTTATCGTCTTCCGGCCCTCCGCACAACAGCCAATCCCATCCCAATTTGACCGGACTAAACTGCAGTTTTCACCTCG